GAATGAGCATCCCGATCCGCTTAGGGGCTGTTTGGTTGGTCTCCTAAAAACCAAGAATAGGAAATTAGAGCTTGGAAATTTCAAAAAGTGTAATTTCCACCATTTCCATCCCTAAGACTTCCCACAACATTTAATAAAATATTATTTCCATCCAACAACTCATCCACATCATCCAATAAAATATTATTTTTTCATCCAACAACTCATCTCATATCATCCAAAAAAATAAACCAAACAAAAGAAATGTGTCACATCATCCAACTCATCTCATCTCCATCTCATCTCATCTTTAAAAATTACTCACATCATCCAATAATATGGTGACAACTCATCTTATTTCATTAACATTTTATCTCCACCCATTTCCTCCAAAAAAAAGAAAATTGATTCCCTTAAGTGTGGACCACATCATCCAACAATATAATAACAACTCATCTCATCTCTTATTTTTAAGAATGAACCAATACAAGAGAAGAACCTATTATAGGAAATATGTTTCTTATTCTTTGATTTCCTTCTTTTTTAGCCAATCAAACAATCTCAAAACAAGTTTTTTTAAAAACTCACCCACATCATCCAATAATATAGTGACAACTCATCTCATCTCATCTCCTATTCTTTGATTTCCTTTTTTTTAGCTAACCAAATAACCTCAAAATAATTTTTTAAGGAAATAGGTTTCTTATTCTTTGATTTCCTTTTTTTGGGCAAACAAACAGCCCCTTAGAAGCTAGGAAATTATGGACCCACCCTATAGCAAAATCAAGAAATCTTATATTGAGAAGGTTGATGTGATGGAGTTTATCAACGGAATGAATTATATAATTAATGTGAGGGCGATCGGCTATCAGCGAGGGGTTCGAGGTATGCCGTCGCCTTTCTAATCATCAGGTAGAGGGTCGAGAAGCACCAACTTTTGAGTCAGCTCCGTGAGATGTCGGCCGAATAGGCGGCTGTGTAGGTCGCTTGGGGAGTCGGCCTAGCAAGGAGGTAGACACGTACCGCCCTTTGAGCCAGCTACGGGAGATGTCGACCCTTCGAGTTGTCTAAGCTGGAGACTTTGGTTATCTTGAAGTTGTGAACCGATTTAATTAGACAGTTAATGTGGGACACTTGTCTGCTACTGAATAAAGATTATTACTCAATAATTGAAGCACTATAACACTAAATGAGATTTATTGAGATGCAAGGTTGGATGGTCAAATTATCTTGAGATTCATGATGCTCCTGTGAACCCTAATCCTAATTGAGTCGATGAGGTAGCAATTTGCTGCAACCTAATGCTGGGGATGAGGATTCGACAGGATTTTTAGGACCCAACCTGCTATGCATATAACTCAGATTTTTCATTTGAACTGGTGGGACAGTGCCACATGTACATCCAGCTCGGCTACATGAAGAGGTAGCCAAAAGTTATTGGGGGTTTTGTGCAATTTTGAAAGTTATTTGGGGTTTACTACAAAAGTCTGAAAGTTATTGGGTGTTTAGTGTAATTTAGCGATTTACCCTTTACCGATGTAAGGATCTGTTTGGCTAATACTTATAAAGCCTTGCAACTTATTTTATGAAACCTTATAAATTGCTTATTCGTTATTACTGATTTTAATAGTGTTGGCCTGCAATTTTGGGGTTGTTTGCTTCATAGGAAATTACAACGCTTTATTGTTGTTGTTGCTGTTGTTGTTGTTGTTTATCTGGAAAAATACAGTTGCAGTTAACTGCACTTTTTTCTTTTGCAACTGTACGGGCATCTCAATCATGATACTTCTTTGGTTGAACTCACCCCTAGTTGATTTGGGGGACTAATATCTAAAAAACCCTTATTAATTATATTTGTAAAAGTAATTTGATAAAAAAGGGATGGTGATGATGATGAAGGATTTGTAGTCTTAAAGTTGTTCTTTTCAATCCTCTCGATTAGCATTTTTATTATGAATTTCTTCTCTATGTTCATAATTTTTTAAACTTATTTTCAACTACAACCTCATAAATGTACACGTAAATGATGAAATGACAAATCTGAGCCTTCTATACTCTGAGCTCCCGGCATTTCTTCATGGTTAATATAACTCCATGTTCCTATTTTTACGTGCTTGTAACTATGGGGTACTGCAACCAACTGTTTGGAATCAGGGTTCATGAAGAAATTAAAGGGCTTATGCGCATTTTTTTTTTTTTGACTATTATTAAAGTTCCAGAGTATTGACCTTGCTGTCTCTGCTACCGCTGATGTTGATGCTTCTGTTGTTGTTAGAATATAAAATTATAACCCTCAACTTCGTCTTAACTCCAAACTACAAAGCCTTGGGGTGAGGGACTCCAAGAGTTGCAATGAGATGATGATGACTTGCCCCTAATTACGTGTTATCGATTTTTGGTCTTTTAGTGCGATGGTTTAGGTGGATATATAATCCTCTTCAGGTTGCCTTTTGCTTTTGATTCTAATTTTTGGCTGCTTTTTTCTTAAAGCTTAAATAAGGCGGCGATGATTTGTCCCTAATTACCTCACAAGGATTTTGGTGATTGGTTAGCAGAAAAAGCTTTCTGATTATCTTTGTAAAAAAGAATTTGGAACAAAAAAGGATTAAGATAAGAAGAATTTGTGGTCAATTTGCCATTTTTGGGTAAATTTCATATAACCCCCTCACCTATGTACCCGTAGTAACACTCCTCAATGCACTCATGGACATGACATACCTGACCACTATTTTAATTAGGAAATTTCGTTGCTTTTCCTTCTAATTTTGTTGTTATGCGAGAGGCAGCACTTGAGCTTCACTGCTCTCTGTAGGCAGCTGTTACAGCCATTTGCTACAACTTGGAAGTGTAAGATATCTTTGGTTGGTGAATATGTAGATGGTTTTTCTACCCATTTTCTGTAAAGATAACACCGATAGTGCTTAGCACTAGCCCAAGACCGTAATACCCGAGAAACCCGAAAGAAACCAAGAGAATAAACCTCTAAGTATGAAGAAGAATATGAAGAACACTTAGAGAACACTTGAAAGACTTTTAGAGAAATGTAGATGACTTATGAAGAGGAAGACTCTTTATTTGAACTTGCTTTATTTACTTGTTCAACTTTTTCTTCTTACTTACAAATGAGAGAGGTGAGGAGGTATTTATAGCCTCCCAAAGATATGTTACAAAAGATCTAGATTCTTCTAATATCACCTCCATAGTTCATAGATATTTTTCTAATCTCTAGAAATTTCTACATAATATCTAAATATTTTTATCACAAATTATCTAGATGTTTCTATACTATTATCTAGATATTTAGCTTAAAGATTTCTCTAGAACACTTTAAGGAGGTGATCAACCTTCTAGAGTGTTTCTAGAAAGCCTCTAGAATTTGGACCTAATTTTGGGTTTGGTCAAACTTAGAATAATTCCATCATAAACCCAAAATTAAGCTTGATCCAAAATCAAGTTTAATTTCAATATTTTCTAGTGCACCCTCATCAAAGTACATATAGATGATGAAAGAGCAAATCCGAGCCTTCTAATTTTTTGCACACCGTGTTATTCTTAGTAAACAGAACTCCATTGTCCTTTTCTTTTAGTAAAGAAAGAATAATGTATTTTGATGCTTTTACGTATAAAATTTCTCGAAAAAAGGGGTCACAAGTAAGTTTTTATGTAGAATTTATTTTAATTTAGCTATAACCGTATTTGCCCGTTTTGCACTTCTTATTATGAAGTTAATATCGTTTTCAGTTTAGTTAATTACAAAAACAAGCGCTTTTATCCCAAATGTTGCGGTCAGCTATTAGTTTTAGTTAATTGTTACTATATTCTCTGATTGTTTTGTTTTGATGCAGATATATTAATATTTCACAAAACTTTTTGATGAACCTGTTGACATAAATCCAAGCGCTTGAACTGTATTAAGATAGAAATTGAAATGCTCTTTGGTTGTATGTTACAGAGAATAGAATGTTGGTGTTCAGTAATCATGAGCACATAAGACGATTAACACAAAACCTCACACTATTTTTATTGCTTTCGAATTTTGCTTCAGACAATTTGTGTTTATTCTGATTTGTTCAATACTCAAAAAAAAAAAAAAAAATCCCCCCTCTTTTTCACTTTGCATGCAGTCTCGTTCCATGATTTTGGGTAGTCACAAGTTCCATGTTTGGATTTACTCAGCAAGGATTTAAAAGTTAGGATTTTGGAACGTATCCTAAAAATAAAAAAAAAAAATTTGGGCCCAAGTGTGGGAAGATTAGAGCATGTAGAGAAGCCTACACATTCTTGAGCTTCATAAGAGAGAGTTTCTCACAGCCTGCTGGTTGGGGCATTTCCTTTGAAGCTGAATGCACCCAGCTCAAGTCCTGACATCTGCTTGATCTAGTTTAATGGGTATTTTGTGAATTATTAATTGCAAGTCTCATTTTGTCTCATACACGAGTACATTTGCATGTTATTTATTTAATTAGGTGACATAAGTTATATGTGGAATTGCTGTTCTATTATAGGTTCGAGAGTTGTTGTTGTTGTTTTTTTTTTGGGGGGGGCGGGGGGATGGGATGGTTAAGCTTTTTCTCAATTAACATCATGTTTTTTCTCAACTAACAGCATGTTTGGTGTTGTGTTTCAAAAAACACCATGGTTTGAAAACGCATGGTGTTTTGTTTTTAGCAAAAACACCACGGAAACAAGTAAAACATCATGATATCCAAACGGAACCTTAGCTATCTAGCGTTTTGTGGCATTAACCCTTATTTCAGGTCTACAGCTGTGATTTTTTCTTAGCATCGATGAGACGAAATTGGAGCTAGTATTTGAAGGCGACGAAGGAGACACATGAATTTATATTTTCATAGCAAACAGTTAAGACGATATATTTTCTTAGCATCGATGAGACAAAAGTTAAGATGATATATTTTTTCCCCTAACATAACATGTATATTAGCAAGCTAGCACCATTGCTGTACAGTACATATACTAACAAACAAACATTGACCCGAAACAATGGGTAGAAAACCCAAGCAGAAGTGAACAATACAGCAACATATGACAATCTTCGTTTACATTGACTTGAAAGAATGGTTACATCAACTGAAAGTCGGGATATACTGAGAAAGGCCAGGATCATATTTTTCATCGAGGACCAAGGAGCGATCCGATCCTCACAAATAATACACTACTTTTAACCCATACTTGATCTATAGCCATTGCAATTTTCTCAAAAATATTATCGTAGTGTTGTAAGAGTCACCGTACAAGCAAGACACCAAGCAGCGAAAAATCAACGTGTTTTTACTCCCCGGATAGCATTCAGACGCCAGAGAACTGTCATCGCCAAATAATTTGCTGACAGCTTCTTCTTTAGAGTCTCACTGGTTAAATTCATTAAACCTGTTGAAGGTAAAATAAATAAATAAATAAATAAAGCTTGTTCTATAAGGCGGTCATCTACAGCATTCTATATCGCTCTGCAAACTGAATTGAAGGTATACGCCCAATATTAATCTTATTTATCTATATACTAAAGTTAACAGACTCAGCACTGTTCCTAAGCTACAGTAAATGAAATTTATGTATATATTGCTCCTAAGCACAGTAACGTTCAGCTGCAACTCTTTAGAGATACAGTAACAAATTTTCTCTATATACTATTCCTAAGCACAGTAATTTGAGGGTTGAAAGTGGATAACATGTATTTTTGTGGATCTTGGTGTAAAGCTACAGTGGCTGAAATTTCTCTATATGCTATTCCTAAGCACAGTAATTTGAGGGTTGAGAGTGGTTAGCATGTATTTTTAGTGGATCTTGGTGTAAAGCTACATTAACCTAAATTTCTCTATAAGCTATTCCTAAGCACAGTAATTTGAGGGCTGAAAGTGGATAACATGAATTTTTAGTAGATCTTGGTGCAAAGCTACAGTGACCGTTCAGCTGCAACTCTTTACATCAAGTTGTTTTTTTTAATATTTCCCAAAAAGTTTCCATGTTGCCTTGCTATCTAAAATAGTAAGCAAACTATAGCTATGACATTTACATATCGGGGGTGTGGGCCCACCAAAATTAAATCATGAAGTGTACAGAGACTTTGGCCAACGAAATTTGAAGGTTGAAAGACGGTAGCTTGATTATTTTAGGGATTTTTTTATGAAAAAACCATTTTTGCTAAATAATTAGCAAAACCGACTGCTTTGCTAATTATTTAGCAAAACCGACCGTTTTGCTAATTATTTAGCAAAACCGACCTCCTTTTGGCCTGTTGGTCAACAAGCCAAAAAGAGTTCGGTTTTAAAAAATTAGTTCTTCGACACATGAGGATCGGTATTGCATCAGATTCAATACATGTATTGGTATTGCATCGGATTCAATACATGTATCAGTATTGCATCAGATAGTGGGGAGGGTTCGTAGAGCTCTTCATCAAACTCATGAGGATCGACATGAAGGTCGCGAGCAGATGGCGCATGAGGAGAGGGTATATGCACGCCGACAAATACGTGGTAGATCTTGCACCCATGACAATAACCCATGACAATAAAGCTGGTTTGTCACACCCCCACACACAACCAGAGAGCGAGCACATACAAGCTCAAGTCGAAGGAGGCCGCTGACGATCTGAGCAGGTACGAAGAGGGAGACAACAGGGGAGCGGCGGACTTTTAGGTTGCATGTGATAGTTTATTAGCTTTTATACTTAGACTATATATTGTCGCATGAATAGACTTGATACATTTGGATTTTTTTAGAGTATTTTATCGTATTGATATGTATATGACGTATCTATTGTGTTGTGATGTTGTGAAATTGATTAAATGTGTTCTTATCCAGTGTTTATTTCTTAATTATAACTTTTACAAATATTATACTGTATATCAATGTATACGAAGTGGATGTTATATTTTTGCGTAAATTTTGGTCAAAAAACAATGTATATGAAGCAAAAGAGGCATGTGCATGTTTTGTGTCTGCCCAGCAAATCCACGGGACTAGTACCCGTGGGTTTGCTAGGCAAGCTGGGCGGGTTTCTGCTTAACGTACGGGACTACTAGTCTCGTAAGTTTTGTGGAGTGCTTAATGTACGGGACTAGTAGTCCTGTGGGTTTTTTGGCTTAAGATTAGTGACCAATTACTGGACACTAAATATATGAGACTAATAGTCCCGTATGTTTCGAAGAACTAATTTTTCAAAACCGACCTCTTTTTGGCCAACATGCCAAAAAGAGGTCGGTTTTGCTAAATAATTAGCAAAATGATCGGTTTTGCTAATAATTAGCAAAAAGGGTCTTTTTTAAAAAACTCTTTATTTTAGTAAGATCTTGATAACAACAAAAGGAAATCACGTCTTTCTCAGTACAAACACCTCTCCTCACACCTCGTTGCACCTCTCCATTCGTCTTCTTCTCATCTCAAACTTCACACTGGCAATAGATAAAATACCTTGGTCTTCGATGGATTTTTTCATTGTTTGCTCATGTTCTTCCTCTTTTCTTGCTCCTAAAGGTAATTCCTTCTCTTATTCTTTCATTATTTTATTGCTGAAATTTTAGGTTTTTAATGAATTTGTTGCCATAAAATTATTTGTCTTGTGATTATTTAGTAACATTTTTAGATATTTATTTTCCCTTGTAAACTTACTGATTTTGATTTTTGTTGTTTAGAAAAGTACAGTGTTTGGTTTTTTGTTGATACAGCCCAAAATCATAATTTTGGAAAAGGGCTTTTACTTTTTTTGGGTGATGATTGTTCCTGTTATATTAGGATGAGATTGCATAACAATCCGCTAGCAGTTCATTTGGCTTGATTTTTATTGTATTCATGCTATAGTTATTGTTCAGTTTTGGGTGGAATAAGCGAGATATTCTGGTACATAGCTTTCTTATTTATGTTATTACGCTTAGACTTTGTCCCCTCTTTCCTTTTGTCAGGTATAATATGTACAGCGTATTGTCATAGCTACAGTATACTCAATAACATATCATATCTTTTGAACTTATAAATCTAAGAATAAATATTTGATAACTCAATTAGCGCAACATACACTTTACATAATCTAGTCCCAAGTTTCATCATTGTTGCAATGTTGCTGGCTCTCTATAATCTATTTTGGCCTTTTGCATATGACCCCCAAGATTTGCCCCAGTTTCCTTCTTCTAGAATGAACTCAAGCTTGAGGTTAAGGTCTCAGGTGGCGATTGGCCCCAATGATTTCGATCACATAACAAAGCAGTTCAGGGAGGAGAATCTCGAGGACAGATGTAAGTTTATCTTGATTCTCTTTGAATAGTTATTAGGGTTTTAATGCTATTTCCTTGAAATTAAATATTTTTAATTGGAATTTGTTGATATGAGCATGAGAAATTGTATATTAAGACGGATGGTATTAGATAATATTAATTCTTCATGGGTTTAATCATAAACTGTTGAATATTTTCTGCATGGGTTTTTGATGAGTGCCTATTTTTTTACACGAGGGAGAGTGGTTTAATCATAAAAGTCACGTTTCCCGTGAACACATGCTTTTTCCATTATTTCTCATCTTAATTGCATCAAAAACTTAAAAAAGCACAATTTACAACTCAAATATAACTCAATTTTCTTAGATGATTAAAGACCTGCTTCTAAGCGCACGCTCTCTACCTTATCTAATTATAGTGCTTTAATGTTCAAATTTTAGCTATTGATTAGGTTCGGGTTCTTACTTTATTTATTATTTAACTTTAGCTATATTTTAGATTCATATAGTTAGCTATATCGAGATGGGGGAGTAAAATGAATAAGTCTGATGCAAAAAACTAATTTCTATTTGTGTTTCACCAAGTTGGGATAGTATAGATTTTTCGTGTATCAAAAACTTTTTCTTGTGTGGATATGTTCTTGGAATCCACATTGACTTCTCAATTGATGTATTACATTCTAGGATTGAGAGAACTTACTCATTAGAGTTAAAGAGTTCAGAATGAAATTAAAGAGATCGAAGTAATTAGTTTAAATCATATTTGATTGGAAGAATAATAGTTTGATTGTAGGTGAAATTTTTTTGGTTTCATTAGACTTGGAGAATTTCTAAATTGATTTGGAATGAAGAAATCTTCGTATTAGGAGGATTCATGAGGTTTATTATTAGAAATTTTAGTATTTTGTTTACATTTTACTGATGATCGAGTTCTCGATTATTAGACTATTAATTACACTTCTGTTTCGAGTAATTCTCCTAATTTTTTCTGTATCCTTTACAAACCCTCACAAAAATTACATGTACAATAATCCAATAATATTTATTTACAGTTTAAGTGTCTAAATTTAGGGAGATTTTGATTCTAAAGATATGTTAAATTTTGATAGTTTTGATCCTGAAGGATCCAATTTCTTTTATACATTTCATCCCTTTTATCTTTTCTTTCTCTCCCATTTCTAATAATTATCTTCATTTTCGGGAAATCATATGGGTGTAGTTCTAGCTACGATTTGAATCGGAGTTATTAAAATATATATGAAGATCATTTTAAAGAAAGGGTATGTGAATATCATTCTTTTAATTTATTTCTTAGTTTATGTTTTTTTGGTGATATATGTTGATTTTAATTGGAGTTATTGATCTGGCATTTTGGTTTGATGATTACAGAAAAGATGGAAGTGTTATGGAACAATGTCTCATGGTGAAAATTTTGAGAGGAGATACAAAGAAGGGCTCCAAATTACCTAAACGGACTCAAGGTAAAAATTTGGAACATTTTATTGATAAAATTTTGGTATCTTTAACTTCCATAATTATGAATTCCTTAATTTGGATAATATTGCATATCGAGATGTAGAATTTGATGTCATTTTGTTTTATTAGGTCCTTACGTGTGAGGGCAGTGTGATAATCAAAGTATTGATATGCTAATTATTTTTTCCATAATTTTTTTGCCTAAAAATTACATTATAATTGTTAGGTTGGGTTGGATATTGTTATTCATTTCTACATTTAACTCAAAGAATATATACACACACACACGCACGGACATACATATATATATATATACATACATATACACACATATATATGTATTTATCTCCTCTTTTGCATTTTTTCCCACAATTTTCAGTTTTTCTAAAAAAAAATTTAAGTTAGATCCAGCTCATTTGACATTTATAGATCTAATGTGGAGTGGTGAAGTTTGAAGCAAGCAATCGCTTGCAGATAGGTGAAATGTATGTTGGATCTATGTTGATTATGTGGTTTATATTGACTAAATCTGTGTTGATTAGATCACTAAGATTAGTAGTTTTATTTATTTATCAAGTTTTTGGAGTTTTATCTATTTAGTCTAAGGACAGTGATCTCTTTGGGTGAATTTAGACATATTTTACTTCAATTCATATTGTCCAGACTACAAAGGCAAAACCATTCGAGATTATGATATAAGGGCTCACATATGGAAATGGAACATCAATGAGACCTCATCCCGAACAAGGATTAGTTATTTGCTCTTATTTAGATATATTAAAATGAATCTTCCTAAGTATAAATTCTAAGTGCCAAAATGTTAACTTGGGCTAATTACTGTAGGGCTAATTGTGAAGCTTTTTTTATTCATATATTTAGCTTATTTTACGCTAATGTCTGGGCAACGCACGGGTCAATTTTGCTCGTTTATTCTAAAATGAACATGACAATTGTAGGTATATTTTTCACACATCAATAAAAGACATTAGTATATATTATGGATGGGTCTGCAGATATAACAAATGGCAGCAAAATTGACAACATAATGGTAGATGGTCAGAAGCCGATGTCACCATCATGGCATAAAAATTGAACAGGAAGGGAAAAATAATCTGAAATAACAGATCACTAAAGCCCTAAACTTTTACTAGCACATCGAACCCTGATCCCAAAAAGGAGTAATCCCTGCATTATCTGCATGCATCACACAAGGTATCATGTGCATGGCAGAGAGACCCCATTTCCCTATAGATGTTCAACATACATCTGCTATGGTATAGGTACAAATTTCAGAGACAGCTCTATTCGAGAAATAGGGGGCACCTATGTTGCATGTGTACAGGCACCGGTACACAGTACGGGACAAAATAAATTTGTAAAATGAAGGGTACATGAGACACAGGTATATAAATATTTATATACACATATATTATATATTGGAATTAATAATTTATATGAGAACAAGGAGGATGAGAATTAAAATTCTTATAACATTTTTTGTTTCTTTTATTATGTAGACCGTAGATTGGAAAATCACTAGTTTTTGAATTAGTCATCCAAACGACCCTTCAAAATCGTAATTAGGAACCAGACCAATGTCCAACAATTTTCAAGAAGTGGATGTGAAGTGTAGATATATGTCCAAACAAGTAAGACGAGTGTTAAATTAGGACATGTATTGTTTAATTGAGTACATGCCCAAATAAATGTATGCATATATGCAAGGAGTGTCAAAGGAGTTAGGGGTGGGCATAGGTCGGGTGTGGATGCGGCTTCAGACAGAATTTCCCAGATAACATACGGAAGCACAGAGCAAGAAGTGGTTAACTTCCTATAGTACAGGGGTGTATGTGCAATGAACACAATATAGATTCAGGTAACACAGCATCACTCATGCTTTTGTTGGCAAATCATCATAGCTATATTGCTTTGTAATAATTTAATAATAAAAAAAGTAAAAAGAGGAAGCTTGAAGACAGTTTGCTGCAATTTAGCCCACTATTAAATAGGAATCACGTACAAGATGGTAAGCTGAGGAGGTTAGCCCTTCTCACCCTCCACAATTTAGCCCACTAATACATAGGAATCATAAAGCTAGGCTATGGAACGTGGAAAAGAGTTTCTCTACTAGATGGTAAGCTGAAACGATCTAAATATTAAGAAATAAAACAAGGCAGAGGCAACAAACTAGAGAGCATTTCAATTTATCATAATAAAAAAAAGTTATGACCTGTAAGGGAATGTCCTTTACCTCTTCGTCTCAAACTAGAGAATAAAATGGGGAAGAGGAATAACAGCAAAATTTCCTCAATCCAAGGCTCATAGATCATCTCACCACATCCTTTTTGTTAAGCAACACTGTGCACGCTTACTCAATGGTTGAAACAGTCACTTGCCCTGTGATAATTTTGGGGTTTGGCTGTAGATAAATGATTTGAGAGGCAATCTTTTAAATGTGAAACATTGAGAGGCATGCGTAAAAATACATTCGGAAAAAGATTTATTCATTAATAGAAATGACAAAGGCATTTGAAGCAAACAGAAATGACAAAGGCATTTGAAGCAATCAGATAACAATATCTGTGCCAATAATAACTAAACCTGATCAAAGGTAATCATATATCATAATCATCATGCTCCAAATCCTATGGGAATAAACAGACAGGAAATCTTGGAAAAATCAAAATGCTTAGAATGGTTACAAGAGCAACTTCTGGAAATATAATTCAACAATAAATAGAAAGTAAAGAAGAAAGATTTAAAAAAGAAGATATAGTAAAAAGATAAATTATCTAAACATGAAAAAAAAAACATAATCATATTACTTAACAATGACTAAAAGTTAGAAAGAAGATGAAACAATGGCTCAGATCTGCCAACCTATCAAACATGATAGTTTAGGGGAAAACCATTCCCCTCCTCTCTCTTTTTCTATGCAGTATAACTGAAGATAAATGGCTGCAGAGGTTCTCTTGAAACCAGTAAATGCTGCCCCACCATCACAATATAATCTTGGTAGGAGCTATGCATTATGAATGCTTGGGGTGCCAACAGATTGGATATGACTCGGATATAATACTTAAACATATCTGTATATGTTTACCAGTAATGGATATGCATACGAATATGGATGTCTCAGTAAGGAAAAATCATCCATACCTGCCAAAATCAGGTACGGATACACACGCAGATACAAAATGGATATGAGAAAAACATATAAGATTAAAAAAAGATAACTCGTATAATACAAGAGACTTCATTAATAATTTCGTTATATCTAAAAAGCTAAGATTAGATCTCTAGATCATCAAAGTTAACCACTTAACCTCAAATCATTAATCTAAGAATTAAAACAATAACAATTGCAACTGTATGATCAACAAATAATTGGATATTTTGGATAAGAAACCAGATATTTCACCATATATCGGTAACCATATCCTATTAGATATAGATATTTAGTAACAATACCCTTATCCTTATATGGATACATCAACGAACACGGATATTTTTTTGCACCCCTAATTACGACTCAGAATGATGGGACAAAAAATAATAATAAAATAAAATAAAATAAAATAAAAAATAAAAACCTGTGATAAATGTGGCAACACAAATGGGAGTTAAGATGAACGAATAATAGTATACTGCCATAAAAAAGTGGACATAAAACAAGTTTATAAGTACAAAGTTGGAGGTAGCTTCAATTGGGAATGCAACAAGGAAGAAATATTTCAAATTCTTCCAATGACTGACGACGACTGACCTGAATGAACATGATTAAGGAAGAAAAAAGGACATGATTTCTGATATTTTAACATATTACTGACCTTCAAGAATGCTGAATGAATGTTGTCATGGTTCAATAATCATTTTCTTTGGGCAAATCATCATCGCCTATATGTATATGTGAAATGAGCATTATCATCATAGAACAGCAGCAACAGCAGCAACAGCAGCAGCAGCAGCAACAACAACAACAATAATAAGGGTTTGTTCCTGAATGAGTCATCAATGCAGACGTCTATTCAACCAAGATCTCAGAGACTCAGGTCAGCCCATCAATCAGAGAGAAAGAAAGGGGCCAAACCACTTTCTATCTGCAGAAAATACCAAAATGGCTACAAAACTGCCACGCCATTGGGGGAAAAGGTGCAGATTGTCTAAAAAAAGATAGCAAGTTCAAAACAGCAATAATATGGGGGTCTACCCGCAATTAACCCAAGAAAATAATACCAAAAGCAGATAGGGTTTTGGTTTGAGAAGTAGAGATAATCCAAACTCTTCAAGTAAAAGATAACACAAGACTCCTAAATCTTGCCAAAGGGCATTTCATCATTGTCCCTGAGATGGATGAAGAGAAATAATGCCTCCCTGCTTATATGATTTTCTGTTGAGAACCCTCTGTATGATTTTATCCTTTGCTCATGCATTGAAGGCAACAAGAGAAAAGGCCTAGGAGAAGACTTGCAAGAGAAGAGAATTAACAAAGCTTTTTTCACTTCTGCCCGCGAAACCACCTCCTCACAGGTTTTCTTCAGCTTTTAAGTTTGTCCAGGCTAGGTCTGAAAGCTAAAGGTTTCTTTCGACGTCATGCCCTCCAAATCATTGGCAATTTTAGAATTACCCCCTAACACCATCACAATTGTTAAATGAGCCTTAGGATTTCCCATCCTTCATATCAATGAGAAGTTTGATACCTGCGATGTAGCAGGCAATCCAGGACTGCCCCCCAAGTGTAAGCTGCAAATAACATGGGTCAAAGGAACAAATACACAACAAAGAAATATAATTTCCTATGAACCAGTCATGTTCCAACAATCATTTTCAATTGGGAAAACCATAGTTAACAATCTATGTTACTTGGGTACTTCTATAATGAAGCCGTATCCGTACCGGACACGTACCCGACACTTTCCCGTACCCAAACTTCATGGACACTTCTTTAATATATGCATGCACTTATTACAACATGTACTCAATTATACGTTATATGTGTTAATTTAAAATGCTTGTCAAAGACTTCCTGGACGTAGAGCTTACGCTTCACATCCGTCTTTTGAAACTAATGAGATACGGGTCGGATTCGTTTCAGTCCATACCCAAGTTTAAAACTATATAGTTAATGGGTCGTTTAGATGTCTAGTAAAAAAAATGAGTAGCTTACAATTCACGATAATCAATATGATAAAAGAAACTCAAAAATGTGATCGGAATTTTAATTCTAATGACACATGAAGGGGAAATTTTTTATCTTATGTATAGTATTAATTCAATATATATATGTAGTCGTGCCCCCGTACCCTACATTTTACAGTTTTGTCGTGTCCCGTACCCGCACCTGTACCAGTACCCGTTTCCATGCAACTTAGTTAACAATACACAACAGAAAAAATCTCATACGAAATCATGCTCCAGGAATCATTTTTATTGGGAAAACCATAATTATTGATTTATAGCAAAACCATAATGTTTCATCTTATCTGCATAGAAGTATTGATTTATTACACATGGGCACCATATGAAAAAATGTACAAAAGAATAAATATTTGTGTTTGGCATCTCTCCATCAGCAACAACTCATGCAAGAAACTGAACAAAAAGGAGGCTCAGATAAGCCCTTCTAATCAGTCATGTGGATACGGCTGCAAGCATGAATGACC